TATTAGGTATTTTTTTTTTCAATTGTGTACAACATCTACATTATTGTCTATCATAAATTTCATCTGTATAAAAAATATAAACTTAAAGATACTCGTAGACAAGTTTTCTGGTCATCCCCGGTATACCGTTCAGCTATGCACTATTATAATAGTATAAGTGTAATCATTAGGTCGGTAATAATAATAATAATAATATAATAGTTACGATTTTTACGTTAGTTTACCGGGGCGCCAGAACTTGTAAAACATAGAAATCACAGTAAAAAAGTTTTTTTTTTTCGTTATTATATCATTTTTGAAACTAATTACAACGTAAAAACACAATTGTACAATCTCGCTGTAAAAAAGTAAGAGTTCTTTTTTTTTTCTCTCTAGCCGCGCTTTTTCGGCTAAAATTGGAAAAGTGATCACATGATTACGAGGTACAAGGTGATCTGTTAAGTACAAAATTTGTTTTAAACACAGTCTTCCTAAGCAGCTTCGTATGTCAAAGGTCCTTTCTCCAAAAAACGTCTTCGTATGTTTCCGTTTTATGTTTTTGTTTTAATTTGCCTGGTTACGCCCTGTTTCAAATTTCGCGGCCGATATTACCATCTATAGTAACTGTCATTTTTTTTTTGACTCTATGTCAAATTTAACCTTACTTTTTCTAGCGTAATTGACAGATTTTAACTTTAAAGTTATCCAAACAAATGACTCAAAACCGATTGTTAATTAGTGCAGAGTTAAGGTAATGTACAATAAATATTAGGGTATTTATGAATGTATAGTTTTTTTTATAACATTAGCGAACGAAAATTGAACCAGACCGTTTTCCTAAAGCTTCAATTGTTTTCCAAAACTTATTTAGAATTTTTTATCACAATAAATCGATTACATCATTGACTAATCACTTTCCTAACCGTAAATATTAACATTTTCCTAAAGGATCGACCTTTTCCCGCTGTTTAACTGAGTATATATTATTTAAAGCGACCTTTGATCATAAGAGGCTATTTTTTCTTGCTTTCAATGCCAGAAAGCTATTCACGATATCAATATTTTTTTTATTTGCTATTAACCATTTGTCTACAATTGATTTTCTTTCTTATTACCAAGAGGCACAATTTTGTCTTCTAAACACCCATCATAAAAATTCATCTTTCAAATGTTGCAATCATAATACGAAAAAAAAAGGTAATAACTAAAACCTAATTGTTTTTTAATTAAATTATGAGCTCACATAGGCGAATAAGCGGCGGTATGATTATTTTGAAATAAGTCTGTACAACGATCGGCTTAGTCCGTAAATTAGTGTCATCAATGAGTTTTATCTGCCGTGGTGTCCAAAAAATCCCGTATTCCAGACGTGTTTTGGTTGAGAATATTTGCAAGTTTGATTAAGAAATCCTTTCCATTTACTGTGGTGGTTCTGATCGTCAAACTTGTTGTAATTAAAAGTTCTACTTTGTAGTCAAAATTTTTCGTTCGTTATTATAGTTGAGATATCTTCGATGCAAATATTCCCGATTGTATGTCTATTATATTAGTTCACTGTTTCCTCCAATAACGTCCTTTTTCCGTCCAAAAATCTACCGCAATTCCAATTTGTTAGTGTCTCACTATGACCTTACCCTATTCTTATCGATTTTTCTACAGTCCCACTTTCACAAATTAATTAACACTGTTTTTTCATTACGCATTAACACTTAAAATGAAATTACGGACACCCGCACTCGTCCACGACCATTTTGGGCAAGTCCCTTTTGATAATGTTTTGATCGGAGCCCAAATAGATCAGGCTCATTCCCGAAAACTTCAGCGGTGCACAGCAAGGTTGCATCCCGCTCAGATGGTTGCTTTTTCTCAGCTCCTCGATCACATGCGTATGGTAGTTTAGATATTGGTCAGGAGTTCTCTGGTGACCGCAGTCTCCTCGACAGTAATTGGCGTAGTAACCTTGTGGCGCTATAACCTATAGAAAACAGAATACAAATAATGACCCCGGGAGATTCTTATAATGTCCAACATATAAAATGGAAGAACTTCAATCCGTATCGCCCCAAACGAACAAAAGATCCTTGTCCTTAAGTATTAGTCTACACTTACCCAGTCATCCCATCCAATTTCCTTGAAACTGACGTAAAATCTTTGTTTGCAACATTGATTCCCAGATTCAGGAGAACAATCTATTGCTCTTCTTCGGACCCTCCTCGTGGTACTGGGGTCGGTGTGAATGACGAGGAAGGGTCTCGTGGGGTCGTGTCTTCGACTGCTGGTTCCACTGTTGGTGGAGGACGAGGAAGTTGATGGCGTGTCGGGGATGTGCAAGTGGACATTCTTACATCTGCAACTGCAGTCAATGAGGAGACGTAACTTTTGGGAAGTCCCCTCCGACAACCACCTTCTCACAGTGTCTGTTAAATTGAGTTTTTGCCATCCGCTGTTGTTCTCGTTCACCTCCAATTTCGTACCGAAATTGTGCTAGAAAACAAGACACAAAAGGATCTCTGTAAAAGATCGTCAATACTTCAAAAATGTATGATCAAAAATGAATAACCGAAAGTACATTATTCCACAAGATCCAGAAATCCAATGACTTCGAATATTGGGAACTGTAAAAATTTGCTATTGATTATGATATTGAATTAGGATTAAAAGAAGGACGTACTTCGTCTAGACTAAGTTTATTTGAAAAACTAAATTGTTTGACCCTGAATGCCCAAAGGTACTGTTGGCACCTCGTCGGCGGGCGTTTTCTCAGTTCCGTTTTGAGCCAGAGGGTTGCCTCGCGAACCCTCAACTCCTGGATCGCTTGGCCGGGTTCAGGGGTTATCCTGAACTCTAAATACTTATTTCCATTCACTGTCATACCTGAAAATAAAATAGAAACGTTGAAATCCAAACCATCCGTGCATGATTTTACGAATAAGTAAACAGTTTAGGGATAATATTCACGGAAACCTTTCTTATATAGGACCTGTAACCAAAATTGGACTGAAGTTTTTTCACTTAAATGATTGAAACGTTGGGGCAAACGAATATTTGGTAGATGTGTGTGGAAGGAATTTATCTTTTCTATGACTTTGCCTTATAATAAATCGTAGGTAGTAATATACTTGTGTGTGCTAGATTCATGAAAACGAATACTTAATAAATTTATTAACTTTCGTAAATTTGTTTCAGACGCGAGTTTCAAAGGTGGCGATAGTGCGGAGTTTGTGCAGGACATATCGTGCCGGCCTGGAAGATGTTCCTGTAGGAGTGGAGGGTAAGTGATTTTCTCTTGTATTTATCTTTGAACGTCTTTTTACGAATTTGAAAGAGGTGGTAGGTACCGATTTATTATTTTATGCAATTCTACCACCTAAATAGGTAGATAATTCTTGTACAGTATTGCTCTAGCTTTATGCAGTAGTATTTTTGTGTTGGGTCTACCACAATAGGTGCAATGCCAATATGCACAGTTGAAAAAAATTTAAGGAAAACCTGAAGCATCTTCATCACTTTTTAGGACTTTTGTTAATGATAACTTTCAGAAATATCTTTAATTTTATACAGGAACACATTTAACAAGTACTAATTGTACTATTTCGACGTTAATTGCAATAATAATTCCAAAGTAATCTAAATAAGAAACAATAGGCTTTTGTGGTACTGCAAATTCAAAGATAAAATCTTTAAAAATGAAGAAAAGATAAAATTTGCCTTTAAGGTTATTATCACTATTTTTGTTTATCACAATAAGTTGTTTCCATTTTACGGATAAAAATTTTAAATTTTTGAATCCATTATATTAAAAGGAACATTTAATTTGTAACCTATATACTTTTACCGTTGTTGATAATAAATTTTAACGGTCAAATTAACCGCATTACTGGATAATTTGATAAATTGATACAGTGGGTATTGATAAAAAAACTTACGAATTGTCTACGCTTGCACAATAAAAGTTTTATTAATGTAAGCAATCGTACCTCCCAAAAAAGCGGATGAAAGCGATAGAGTTCAAAATGCCGTACGAGACGTTCGTGTACATTGCACTTGCATTTTGCAACTTTTCGGAAATCGCGCTAGCGTTGCGACGTCTACCGACGCCGCAGACGGTATCTCGGCGACGCCGACACCGGACACGTCAACTTCGTATCTCTATGCATGCGTCTCAAAAACAGCACAATCAAGCGAAATTTTCTTTTCGCAGTCTTGGTATACTTGAGGTAAATAATATCCTTTCCTAAACCGATACTTCACTTAAAGAAGGATCCATGAACAGAGATTATATGTACATCTAAAATGTTTAATTATTTTAGATATTTAGATAAACAATTAAAGAAAACCGTCAACGAACATCATCATTATTATAAGGTCGTCAGACTGGGTTAGACATGCACCTCCACTCTTTCTTATCCTGAGCTAATCTTCGCATTTCCCTAATCCTAGAACATCCCACATCCTTGACTATTTGTGCACAGTAATCTAATCTAAGTCTACCTCTACCCTTCCTAACACCCCTTTCTGCCTCTAATATGTCTCTAACTAGACCTTCATGCCTGAGAAGGTGTCCTACCAACCTATCTCGCATATTTCTAATTGACTTCAATAGAGTCCTCTGCTATCCTCTTCATTTCTAACCTTTTATATCCACGGTATCCTCATCATTCGCATGTAACACCACATTTCGAACGCTTCTTAAATTTTCCAATTTCCCTATTTGCCTCATTGTCCCAACATTCCACGATCCGACTCGTAAAGTATTGCACCTACCCCTATTGCTCTTATTGATGACATCCCCCGAGGTGGTCCCCGCTCGGACATCCGAATAGGGGACTAGTTTACGTCCGGAGTGCTTTATCCCAGAGGACGCCATCATTTGAGTTTGGTGTGCTTTTTTTTTTGGGATATCATAATGTGGTGTTTCCCCGTTGCCTTCCACATCGCAGTATTGTGCACCAGAGTGCCATACCGATCCTCGTGATCTCCGCCACCTAGAGTACTGAAAGAGCTGCTGCCTTTTTTCATGGACTTATCTTAGTCTAGTTTCTCTTTAAGAAAACCCCCCGCTCCTATTATGGTTGATAAAAAAGAAAACGAATCAAGAAAAACCTCGATATTTCAGAATCAGTGAGCTAATATTTGTTTTATTCTTTATTATGGGCTATACCCCAAACATACTCTCGGAAAATTGGCGAACATTTTTCTTGGTTTGTTTCCTTTTGTAGTATTAATAGGTACAATATTTTACAATAAGTGCATCGTTGATGGTTTTCCTTAGTTGTTGATCTGAAAATCCAAAAAAAAAGTTGAACACTTGATACATATCTTCGTCCATGGATTCTTCTTTCCATGGCTTACAGGTTTTTGTGCACAGGAAAAACCGGTGGAGGCTATGGACACGGCGTCTATTGCTTAACGTAGCGCGCAACTGTCAACAGCGATCGAAAACATTATTTAAATAAATTTGCAGAAATACGTGATTATTATTACTTATATAAATAATAGCGGTCAAATAAATATGTAAATAGAGGTAGAATATGTGAATTTTACAAAGTTCTGTAGTAAGTAGTTCCCTTTTTCTTCGACCTTTGAAGTAAAAGATACCCATTAGCCACTATAAAAGTTTGCGATTTTTTTTGCGTTAAGTATTTCCGGTTCCAGTTTGTAACGAAACTTTTATGTGAACTTCCTTTTGTAATTTCGCTTGCTTCATTTCATTTGCCAGAAAGTACGTACTCGGAAAACTTTTACAGTTTTCATTATATTCGAAAGTTGGCGTATTAGCAAGTGGTCAAAAGAACTGTTAAAATTTCAGTCCATTTTATTTAGTGAGTTACTAACAGTTAAACATTATTAAAGCGTATACATGCTCTTGATTGGTTGCCGATTTAAATGTTCAAACGTTAATAACTCAATGTTGCATTAAAAAACAAGAAGTTTTACAGGTTACAGAGAATTAAATCAAATATTAATGCCAAAATTCGTTTTTAATTTTCAATCCCACTACAAACTACCTCAAGTTAATGAAGGAAATTTTTTTTGTTGCTGTTGTCACGCCCTTGCCGGGAATCGAACCCGGGACCTTTAGCAATAAAATTTTTCCTCATTAACTTGAGGTAGTTTGTAGTGGGATTGAAAATTAAAAACGAATTTTGACATTAATATTTGATTTGATATTAACCCCTATTAAAGGTTCAAGTTGCTTGACATGAAATACCAATGTGAAAATTCATTTTCAATTATCCATCCACTACAAACTACCTCAAGTTAATGAAGGAAATTTTTTTTGTTGCTGTTGTCACGCCCTTGCCGGGAATCGAACCCGGGACCTTTAGCAATAAAATTTTTCCTCATTAACTTGAGGTAGTTTGTAGTGGGATTGAAAATTAAAAACGAATTTTGACATTAATATTTGATTTGATATTAACCCCTATTAAATGTCAAAAAGTGTTTCATAGTTATTATATTACAGAGAATTGTATTAATTTGCATATTTACGTTGACTATTGGGATTCGTCAAATGGGAGGAACCTAAAAACATGGCGCCGATTAGGGAAAATTTATCTTAGTTCCTATAGTGTACCGTGCAATTTCCAAGTTTTTAAATTACGATAAAATGATAAGTATTGACACAATATGTGATTGGGCTGACACAAAGCCTCGGAAAGGAAATTTCGTTGAAGGTGAGCGTGTTTTTAATGCCAATCACATTATAAAATTCGGAAATAACAAATCC